TACCCTGGCCAAGTAACTTATTATAACGTTATTAAGCACTCACCAACTCTCCCAAGAACTCATATAATATGGTAACAGTATTGGGAGAATTGTTCAAAATAACAGATACCTTATCTGTGAAGAAATTGCTAATAAATTTGGTTCTAATATCAAAATATCAGCGCGAACAGTTAAGTGTGAGCTTAATAAGCTTGGATATTATGCAAAAAAACCAAAAATCATTTCTCTATTTATGGAAAAAAATGCCAATATTATGTTAAATAAACAATTATTCACATTAGACAAAACTGGAAAAATATCATATTTTCAGACAAAATCACTTTTCAAATATTCTGAAACATCATGAAAGCATTTTATAAAGCTGAAACAAATATTTTACAGAAGAAAGTTTCAAAATATTCAGCAAAAGTTCATGTTTAAAAAACATTTTCTGCATGTGGAACAATTAGCTTTCATATATTTACTTAAAATATAAATGTGGAACTTTATTGTAAAATTTTAACTAACTACCTCTTCAAAAATGCATATAGAATTATAGAAAAATGTTGGATCTTTCAGCAAGACAATAATCTGAAGCATCAGATTATAAAAATGAAAGAACTTTTTCACTATCAAGTCCTAAAGATTCTCGATTGATCATTTTATAGTTCTGATCTTAATTTAATAGAAAATCTCTGGACTATTATTAAAAAGAGAGTTGAGAAACATATTAGTAAAATAATTAGAAAAGAAAAAATGATTAATGTTGAGCATTGACATGATTTAATTAGGGAGAAGTAAAAAAATATTTCACTTGATATATGTCTTAATTTAGTAAATTCAATATCAGATCATTTAAACAAAGTTCTTGAAAACAATAAAAAAAATAGATTATTAATATATATATTTATTATATATAAATATTATATTTACCTACCTGTAAAGTCATAAGTCAAATAAATAAAGCTCTTGTAATTTATTGCTGAATAATGATTCTCATTATATATATTGAAAACTGTAAATATAACTTTTGAAAAATAGTAAATTGTAATTTCAAATTTAGCAATTTTGAATGAATTAATTTTTGTATTTTCTTTCAAAAGATATAATCAAATCTCTCTATAATTATACCTATTTATAGTTATACCTCTCTATAGTTACCTTAGTTTGCTTTCTTATTTATATATAAATATAGTAAAAAAAACTCTCTATAGTCATATTCTTTCTATAGTCACATTCTCTCTATAGTCACCAAATTTTGCTTGCCTGAAGATGGTAACTATAAAGAAGTTTGACTGTACTATTTTTTTTTGAGGATCAGCAAAGGATCCATACAATTTTGCTATAATTTGTTAATATAATATTGTGCCAAATAAGTTAAAAAAAATATAATTGTTCTTATCTATACTATAACAAAGATTATAATATAATTCTAATAGAATCTATAGATTAAGAGATACATATTGTGCTGAAATTTGACAAAAAAAATTATTTTTTGTTAAATAAATATCTGTTTTGAAAAACTAATAGGCAAAGAATTTTAAAGTTAAATTTGCATCTGTGATAAATTTCAAAGAAAAAAATAAATAATAATGCATATAATCAATCTATTTATTATTTATCTATTTAATTATGTTCAAAGAACTGTAATAATCTGTAAATATGCTAATTATTACAGTTTCTTTGGATTATACCATTTCAAAATTTCTATTTTTGGAGTTCTGTACAGATTTTGAATTAGTATAACCAAAAAATCAGTAATGATTAACATATTTATTAATCATTATTAATCTGATATCTATCAAATTTACTGATATAATACTAATTAATCAAAAAATTATATTATTATTTTATTTAGTATTAATTTATAAAATTAAAATTTTATAATTTCTTTAAAACTAAAAACTTTCTTACCAAGTTGTAGCTTTATTAAAAAGTTATTAATTTATAAAAGAAGTTTTTTATTTTGATTTTTGATTTAAAAATTATAAAATTTTATAAATATATAATAACTAACAAAATTATAACATTATATATATAATTTTATTAATAAAATATAATAAAAATTAAAAAATTTGTTTTATATAAAAGTATTTAATTTTATTAATAAATATTTTTAATTTTTATATTAAAACAAAGATCATAAATTATATTTTAACATATATTTTTTCTGGATTTTTAGATTTTTTTAACAAAATTATTCTAATTGCAAAATTTTTGTAATAATTAGAACAACTTAATCAGAAAAAAATTTAAAAATCCAGAAAAAATATATATTAAAATATAATTTATAATCTTTATTTTGATATAAAAATAAAATATTTATTAATAAAATTAAAAACTTTTATATAAACTAAAAATTTTAATTTTTATTATGTTTTATTAATAAAATTTTATATGTGATTCCATAATTCTGTTAGTTACTATATATTTTATTTTGTATAATATTAGAAACTAAAAAAATGTGATTATATAGAATACAACTATATTATTAATAAAATATAATAAAAATTAAAATTAAAATTTTATAATAACTAATAAAATTATAAAATTGTATATATAATTTCATAATAAAAATTAAAATTTTTTCTTATATAAAAAATTTTAATTTTATTAATAAATATGATAATTAACAAAATTATAAAATTATATATATAATTTTATTAATAAATATAATAAAAATTGAAATTTTATTTTATATGAAAGTTTTTAAATATTTTTTATTTTTATATTAAAATAAAGATTATAATTTATCTTTTAATACATAATATTTTTTTCTGGATTTTTTTTAGATTTAATCTGATAAAATTGTTTTAATTGCAAAAAATTTTGCAATAACTTTGTAATTAAAATAACTTTATCAAATTAAATCTAAAAAATCCAGAAAAAATATATATTAAAATATAAATTATAATTTTTATTTTAATATAAAATAAAAAATATTTGTTAATAAAATTGAAAACTTTTATATAAGCCAAAATTTTAATTTTTATATGTTTTTATAATTTTATTAGTCACTATATTTATTAATAAAATTGAAAACATTTATATAAGACAAAATTTTCAATTATTATTTTTCTAACTATAAAAAATTAATAACTTTGTAATAAAAAATCATGTCAAAAATCAAATTTAATCAGAATGTACATTTTAAAGATCTAAGTAAATAACACAAGTTTATTATATAAAATAGTAAAAAAGTGAAATTTTGCATGAACATCCACAAAACTTAAACTACAAAATAATATAAATTTTTTTGTATTTTATTATGTACAATATCCGTGTATTTATTTATTAAAAAAACAAAAACATATGTTGAAATATGATGAAAATTGAAAAATAAATCGAATTGATGAAAATGATAAGTAATTGATAGAGGTGGTAATCAGTATGATGAATGAAATAAAGATAAAATATGAGATGAAATGGTTGTTTAAAGAAATGTATATTCATAAATACACATAAATACATATAGCATGCTTGCTTGCAGTGAAAATATATATGCATGCATGGTAGAATCGATGGATTTTATGTAAAACAATAAAAAATAAATAAATATAAAAATGCAAGAAATTCTTTATGTATAAATGCAAATCTAAAATCGCATACCCGCTAGAAAGATTGAGATTTATAAATATAATTATCATACAAAAAAAAATGTATATGCTATTTATGAATTTTATATGCCAAATAAATAAATAAATAAAAAGAGCGAGTGAAAAGAAATAATAGGATGTAGAAAATTTTAATGTATAATAAATAGGAGTGAAGAAGATAAGAAATGTGAAAATGATATGCTTTTTGAATTCTTCCAAAAATGTGATAGTAAATGACAAATTCCTCCTCAAATAAATAATATCAAATCAAAAGATTAACAATTTCAAGGTGCAATAAATAAAAGGAAGGAAATCAAGGTGCAACAGTAGTACCATCAACCCATCTCACAACTCTTTGCGATAATTGTTCACGCCACAGCAAGAAATCACGTCGTTGTCTTGGCCTAGCAACACCCCAAAGCCCGACCCAAACATGCTTACCAACCCAACACATTCGCTCCCAAGTCAAAATTGTTCCGTAGGCAATCAACGGCCAAACTACAAAGAAACAAAGCACAACAGCAAGTGCATATTCTCGTGATCCGTGTAAATCAAATACTCCATGTTTATGGATGTAGTGGACAGTGAGAGCGGTGTACGTGATGTCGAAAGTGACAAAAAGTGCAGTGCCGACTAACATTTTCCACGTGGCTATTACATCTCGACCTGGCCATCGTGTGATTGCTAGTGAATTATCGTCGTATAACATGGCATTTTCGCCTTGTTTTTTGCCGACGTAGTATGCAACGAATCCAATCGGAGAGAAGAATATGAAGCCAGGAGTCATTAATATAAAGAGGAATAAGAATAATGGCAGGAAAAAGAATAGAGAGAAAGGTGAAGTGTGCATGTGTGGCGGGGAAAGTCGTTTCGAACGAAGAGTTTGTGCATACGATACAATGTCTCGTTTTAATCGTCGAGCTTCATCGGTAGGAGGTGTAGTTGATGAATATTTCTGCAGGTTTATTATTCATTAATGTTTGTTGTTTTTTTTATTTAAATGAGTGATAATCATAAATCAAAAAACTTACTTTAGCTATTCTACGTAATAGTGCTAATTTTTCAGCGAAATCCAAAAGATTAGATAATTTATCTCGATACATTCTCGAAGCTGTTTTGAAAAATAATAATGTATCGTAATCTGGTGCATTCACCGTTATTTCCAACAAAGAAGAGTGAATTGTTTTCAGTAATTCTTGACAAGCTATTTAAAGTTTCATTTCAATCGAGAATTAAATTAGTGATCAGATTTTAATTAATAACACAAATAGAAAGTAAATATAAAAAAATAAATACCCTTTCTTTTGGCAATACCACCTTGCCTATACATTTCTACCAATCTCTCTTCTACCTCGATTGTATTTCCCACATCAACAAAAACACGACTTCTGAATCGATGACGATTAAAAAAATTCACACCGCACGGGACAATTTTCAAGGTTCTCTTATTTCCAAAAGAATCCGGTTCTTTTGAAGCCAAATAGCCCAATGCCATCACAGCACATCCGTATTTCAACGACAGCATGTGATCATTGTCGTGCGATGTTCCCTCGGGAAAAATGGCAACACAACGTGATCTCGAAAATATGTTATAGACTGCAGAGTATACTTCAGAATGAGGAGGCATATGAGTGTAAGAAAATGTTGTCGGAATACTGGGAACAGATGGAAAATTCGGTATTGGTGGTTGTCTATTACTAATAGTGCTACTATTGGAGAGTTGACGGGCATGTTGTGATCTTTGACTACTGCTGCTGCTACTACCAGCTCCAATTCCACCACTTCCCATCATTAACGGAGTTCTTTCATTGGCAACTAACCATTTAGGTGGAGATTGTACACCAATGAAATCGGAAGACTCTTGAATTGGAAATGCTATTCTACCAGGAGATGTTGATAATCGATCAATTCCTTTACTAACTACTTTTGGAATTAAGCTTAAACCTTCAAGTGTTTTTAGTGTATTTCCCCGTTCAACACGTACAACCAAACTTCCATACGCCACTAAACGTTTCAATTTATTCTTTCGTCTTCCTTTTGTCAACCATTTCATCCCAGGTTCTTTAATACGAACCCTATGTTCATTGATAATCTCTTCCACAGTACCACAAGCTTCCTTCAACATATCATCATTATCATCAGGACCTTCAAATTCCACATACAAGGAATCACCAACTTGCACGGTCTTTCCCAAATTCTCACCCTCGACAATTTTCCCTTCTTCCAGCACTTTAATCAACCCGTCACCGTTAATTCTTTCCACATCTTGTGGCCTAGTAACCGGAATAGCACCCAACAACGTAATTAACCAACCAAATATCGGATAACTGAAATTTGACTTTGCACTCAAAAAGTAGTGGTTCCTGGGACAAGTGACAAAAATGGTTATTGCGTCCATTAAAAAGTTTCCGTGCGGGGCAGCTACTAACAGTACAGGTGTGCCATCGTCTTTTGGAAAACGTTCTGGGTATAATGCACCATGGTCTCGATAGAATACGTGAAATATTAGTTTTGCAAAAAGTCTTATTACCCAATATATGATTGAGTTGAGTATGTCTCTTGCTTTTGAAGACATTTTATTTATAGATGTTTCTTGAATATTTCTTTCTTTTTTTAGAATTCGTTTATGTACAGGAATTATAATAAAAAAGAAAAAAGATAAAGGTAAAAAAGGAAAAAAAAGATGACTGGGAAATATATAATATTAGAATAGTTAGGATAAAAACAAGAAGCTGGAAAATTTTTCGTTGTTCGTACTACCCATATTTAGTTTGACATATTGGCGTAATGTCAAATGAGTCTTGTTTTTTGGACGTCGCTGTTCCTTCTTCATTATTGCTATTGTTACTATTCACGAGGGGGCACGATCGATTAATTAATTTGTTTGTGTAGTTTATTTTACCACTGTGCGTTCAAACAAACGTTATATGATGTCATTCAGTTTCGATTTTAGGATGTCATTCAGTGTTTCGATTTTAGGATGTTTTCTGGTATCTTTCGATGTATTACTTAAACGTAGATTCGGATATTAGAATTATAAATCTTATTTTTTTGGAGGTTCAATAAAATTACGCGAACTTTATCCATCACGCCCAGTTAATTATACATGTACTATGAATAATAATGGTAAGATTAGTTTTATCTATGCATATCAATATCATCAATCCATCTTAACACATTAAAGGAGAAATTCGTTATTGTGTCTTTGTATCATTATGATTATTATGATAGTGCGTATGAATAGTCCTGTTTGGCGTTTATTTTATCGTCTCTTCTGACAATTAACATGTGAATAGATGAAGCAGCGACTACGGCTGCATGGTTCTGAACATTTTTGGCCGTTATAAAATAAATTCATTACACACAGTGTATATAACGAATATGTGTGTCCTATATGACAGTTCCGTTATAAAGAGGATTCGCTATATACCAGGCCGTTATAAAGTTGTTTGACGGAATCTTTCCGTCATCCGGTTATGATCCGAAACTTGTCAGGAAAAATTCGAAACAAATTTTTTATGGTGCGGGAAGTCTATTCTCGACAAAACTAATATGTTCGGCGACATTCATCATGTGTCCTGATTTGATTTTTATAATTTGGGTCAGCATTAGGGCACTGACATATATTACCTAATATCACATTGATAGAGGTGTTCACCCCCTCCCAGATAAGGTATCTAAAATGCTTAATTATGTATCACCTAAAAATGCTAAATTATCTGGTTTTTTGTTACTTTTATCGTTTATCACGTGAGTATCCTTATGTCAAGCAAAAACGGCCTCCGATCCGGAAATACTTTATTTTAACACTATAAGATTGGGATTAGAGTTAAGGTTAGAGTGGAGAAGATTATATTTAAAATTACCTCACCAACATTTTTTATTAGTGTATCCTGTGTTTTTCACTTGTGCACTCCTATTGGTTGACGATCAGAGAGTGCAGATCTTCAAAATCTTCAAATACCGGAATTCCCCGTTTTTTGCTTGACATAAAGGGTACCCTTGTGACAGGTTACGCCGAACACCCGGAAAAATTTTTTATTGGACTATTGTACCCAGCTCACCCAGCCACAACATTCCGCACTAATTAAAGTTTAGGGTTAAAGTTGGCGTAAAGTTATATGTAAAATTGTTCGTCATTTTTTATTAGTATTGCTACAAATTAGATTTAGGCATCTATTTCCCGTATTTTCTCATTTTCTTGTGCGCATCCTCATTGATTTCGAGATCGTCAGGGATCGGAAAAATCACTCGATCGTGGGTCCACATACATCAAATACTGCCTGTCACACATTGGTTGGTTATGCTGGCCAAAATCCAAAATTTTGATGTTACCTGTCATTTACCGCACGTGACTTTGCAACTTTTTGTAAGCTAAGATGATGATAATTCGAAGGTATTTAATTCATATTATCCAAAAAGATGGCCGACATTGTACAATCTCTCTGTGTACCCTCTTCGTATAAAGATCAACAATATAGGGTACTTGTTTAAAGTTCACTCTCCTAACTTATACAAACAAATTGTTGCAAATAACACACTTTCTAACTATAGGGCTCGACAACAGACTTAGAAAAAGATCTAGCAAACAGTACTACACTATACGTGGGCAATCTCTCCTTCTACACCACAGAAGAACAAATCTACGAATTGTTTTCGAAATGTGGAGAAATCAAACGTATCATTATGGGGCTGGATAAGTTCCAGAAAACGCCGTGCGGGTTTTGTTTTGTAGAGTAAGTTGGTTCTTTGAAGAATGAATGAACGCAGGATATAGATAAAGTAATTTAGTAATATAATATTTTTATTAATTATTATATTATTGTTGGCGGGATCATTTTTTCTTTTTGATTTTGAGGGATTTTCAATTTTGTTTTGGAAAGAGATTGAGACTGATGCTGCATTTTTAAATAATTAAAACAGATATTATCATCATCAAGATGCTTTGGATTGCATGAAGTACGTAAACACCACAAAATTAGATGAGCGTATAATAAGAACAGATTTAGATCCTGGTTATAGAGATGGTCGACAATATGGTCGAGGAAGATCCGGTGGTCAGGTAACTAAAGCTACACTTTTTTAATAATTGATAAGATTAATTGATTATTATCGATTTATAGGTCAGAGACGAATATCGTCAAGACTATGATCAAGGTCGTGGTGGCTGGGGTCATGTTCGTGCCAAACAATTAGAAGCACAGCGTGCTCACCGACAGAAAGAAGAATACGAGGCTATTACCACTATCCCGACTGGTGCTGGAGAGTATAAAGGGAAAAGTGGTAGTTAAATTATTTTTCTTTTAATCTTTTACTTTCTTTGGTATTTTATTTAGTTGGTTAATCCATTTTTCTTTTGCAGCTGCATCATCACAACAACATCATAAACGTGAGAGACCTGACGATGAAGAAAAAGAGACTCAAGGACGCGAAAAGGTATTATTAAAAATAACTCCAATACAGAAAATACCTGTTTTTCATTATGAATGTTAATTTACACAGAACCCGCGATTCCGAGAAGATCGGTCAGATGATGAAGATGAAATGCAGACAGATGTCTAGGAGGGTATTTATGTACATGAATCATATAAAAACATTCAAGTATCGTTTTATTTTCTATTTCTTTAAGAAGCAATAATCGAGCTGAAAATTGGTATTGGTGTGATAATGATGCTTTGGCGGCCATTCAAGAAAAAAGTGGAGATGGGTTAATTATTATTCGATGTAGCATTATTAAGTATGGATTGCTTTTGGCTGCTTTGCATAAAAATTATAATATTCAGAACAAATTCAATAATTTATTGGAGATCTGATTATTTTTAATGTCTGTGTAACTCTGGTAATACAATAACGACCAATAGAAAACAAACCGCGTCAGGTTTTCTGAATTTCATATATTATCGTTATAAAATAAATACCAAAAAAATCAGACACTCAGAAATTATATCATTATAATGCACAATCACATATTACCGTAAAAACGCAGCATAAGTACCCCCAAATTAAACCTTAAGTTATTCCAACAACTTGAATAGACCCGAGTTAAGTTAAGGTTCAGATATTGTCGAATTCAATATATCTTGTGTTTTGTTCTTGATTCATGTTACAAACATGTTTTTTTTGAGACACTGTAACTAGTAATACAAAATGAAATATTGATCTTTTTCCTCTTCCATTTAATTTTGGTATTTGATTGGCAATTATTTTATTATATTCTTCAGGATAATTGTGATTCATTTCAGTAAGAGATTCAATAAATTTGTTGAAAATAACTATTAAATAATTAAAAAATAAATTAGTAAATTCATTATAATTTTAAATTATTTTTGATTATTAAAAATTAAAATAAAAATAAATCAAAGTTATTTATTTTAAAATAGAACTATTGAGAGAGGAAACAGTCAGATTCTAAATCTGTCTTATATAAAGGCAATGGCAAAGCTTCTACTTTACTTTTTATAGCAATAATTTGAAAAAATAATGTAATATTAGTGATAAATCTGAAACAGGACCTCTATGTTTGGTACTATAAGTCTTTATTGCATCATATAGAAAAAAATAATTCACTAAGTAATTAATTAAATGATTAATTAATTATCTTTATTAATATAATTTTGTTTTGATAATTGTGTATTTAATATCATTGTAGTTCTATATAGATAAAAAGGGCATGAATATATATATATTTTAGTATTGTAATTACATGCTAGCAAAACTTATAAAAATAAAATAAAATAAAAAAACTTGTTGCTATCAATTTTTTTAACAGAATTTCAAGAAAATACTGTGATATTTTAATATAATTTTGCTTTACCATATATATTATCTCTTTTTTGTTATAAATATATAATAATAATTATTATTATTACTTCTTTTATTACTATAATTTGCTATTGTTCTCATTATTTATTATTATAATATATTATAGTAATTTCATTAAAAATAAAAGCTAATATTTCTTTGAAAATTTATTGTTTAAATTCATTTTGATTTGTATTTAGTCTTGTATTTATATATTTGTTAAAATTTGGCTTTTTCTTAAAATAAAAATTTTCTTTATTTATAAAGTAAAATTTAATATTATTATTTAACCTTTTTGTTAATTAATTAATCAAATGATTTATCATATCTATTCAATCAAAATCAAAATTCTTGTTTATCTTTTTCTAATCCAAAATAAGAATAACAATATTAATAAAATATTTAATAATAACTATAATATTTAATATTTTTATGATATAAATAATAGAAAATAATATTTATTTATAATTATTTATAATTCAAAATAGAAATAAAATAATAAAATTTTATTTAATCATTATCTTTATAATTAGTAATTAACAATTGAATATCATAATTATATAATTTTTTACTGCTTTCTTCACTAATATTATTATTTTTCTCCTTTTTTTCCTCTGTTTTACTATCTATATTTAATTAAATATTTTTATTATTATTAATAAATAGTACTGAATTTAAATCAAATATATTTTTCAATTAATATAAACACATCTTGATTTGGAATTTCTATTTGTTCATATTCTTCTTCATCTTCATTACTTTCATTATCATTGTCTTCAATTTCTTCCTCCATATTATTCATCGATTCTTCTATCATAATTTTTAA